ATATGATCCAAAATGTGTAATATTGACAAATTGCAAGGCTATGACCCGCCAAAGTGGCCACTCCTGTACCCCAATAAACGTAAATGAGAAAGATGCCGCCGTAAAACTATTACACGCTATCCTGGGATTGGGACCGGTATTTGTGTTATATATGGCGGTTATGTTAACGGCACTGTCGGGGCTACTAATGCAAGGCATCGTCACATAGTATGCAACATTAGATGAGGCGGTTGCCGTGAAATCTAGATAAATGAAATTTGTGAATAAATAAATAAAAATATAATTTACAATGTCTTTGTAGTTAATTTTTTACATGTGTTAAGTTAGTAAAGTGTACAAAATAACGTTTATTATAGATATTACTTTTTACACATACTTATAGAAATGGGTGTGAAAGTAATTGGTGTATCTCTGGGAACTTTTGTCGTTTCGGATGCTGGTGAATTACAAATAATATATAATTAGAATTATTATTACAATTGATAAAATCTCGGTTATTTAAAAATTGAAACTTGCAATAAAAAGTTTGTTTACTCACTCAGTGACCATTCTCCCGGGTTATGGCCACTGAATCCGTGGATCTCATTGAATATTGATAAAAATATTACAACAAAAAAATTAGAATTCATTATAACAAGCATGAACCTATTTGGAGGATGGTAGAATTTTGTTTTTAATATAATAAAAACTAAAAAGTAATTAACACTTTTGGTGTTTTATTTTATAAAGGTTCTAATGTATTGTATGAAATATAACATATGGTAGATCAATTAAAACATTTATATTATCTATAATATTTCTATAAAACAATAACAAAATATTTATTCTAATGTATTACACAAATGTTAGTTCATCTAGGGCTTTTGTTTTGTTTTTATAATGTGTGGAATATGCACATCAAACATGCACATGAACATATTAAAATATGGATTCAATATAAATCTATTCAATACAAAAATTAAATATTGTATTTAAAAAATTTGGCAAAATTGATGCAATTATTTTAAAGCCAGTTTACATATTATCGATAATACTTGGTCAATTTTATATCAAATATACATGACATGTAGATAACATGCATGTCTTATGACATGACATGATATACTAATAATAGGAGGCACCCCTACCCCCACCCCCACACATTTGTGATGCATTTATTACTACAAAACTAACAATAAATAGCAATTGAAAACCAGAGGACAGTTGTATGACATTGCGTGCCATAAGTCAGTATTGATAGAGTCATTAATTAATTCATAATTTACGAAAAATATAACATAATTTATTGGAAATATAAATTTAATGATATATTATTTGTCAAATAAATACATTAATGTAAGAAAATTCAGTCAAATTATAGCAATTATATTAAATTACTTTCAAATAATTAGTCAAAGAAAACACAATAACTTTATTTTATGATTAAATAAAATATCTTTACGAAGAAAAGCACAACAAAATCCTATGGATTTCTACCATCAGTATTGTTGTCATCGTTGGGACAATTGCTTTGATCGGTGCGGAAGAATAGAAAAGTCGGACTATTGATGGCCGTAAGCCTATTGGACAGGAGGTCCACAATCTGTTGGTCCAAAGTAGGAGTTCTACTCATAATCCATGCATTTTCTAAACAATTAAACCATAAATTAGTTAAATAAATAAATAAAATATTATTGTTATTTAATACCGATATTAATGGGCACTACGGGTAGCGAAGAGCAGGAATATGTGAGCGCATAGTTTTGATAGTCGGTCTCCAATATCCAAAGTTTTGATTTTCCAGTAAAACCGGCGACTAATTAATTAAATTGAATTATTATGTATCATATTTGTTGGGATTAAAATTAACTAAATTATATAACAGTGTACATACATCGTCTGAACTCTATATCAAACCTAGCTGGATCAGTTGTGTTAGGTGTGGCCAAACCTCGTATATTTATTGGGTAGTTAATCCTTGAGCACAAAATAATTTGATTAATGTAAGACTTATATAAATTACTATAAATTAAATATAACTTACAATTTATAAACGCCACGATTTTCAACATTGATAGTGCCGTTGGGGTTAAGATTATAATTAGTTGTAATACACTTCTGCCCGGCTTCCCATACATTGGGATATTTCTGTATTTCATACCATTTGCCCATGAACTAATTATAATAAACATATATGTTAATTAATAAAACAAACATGATGAATTTTTAATAATACCCGCTCGGGATCAAAGTTGGGCACTGTTTGTATGTGCGGACACACAGCCGACACCATCCATGTCTCCGATGCCCACAATAACAGCACAAAAGCGCACAAATTTTCAAAACTTAAAACTTTCCTCATATTTAATATCAATTTAATAAACTTTTTGTACAAAAAAAAGTATTCAAAGAATCAGTTAAACAAATATTCCTTCACTTAAGGCAATGAGTTATTGTATTAAACATAAAACTACTCCTCCTTTAGCTTAAATACGGGAGGAATTAGGGTTCGGATACACTATTCAGTAGTGCTTCTGTACTCTTAGCCCATGTATTTCAATGGTAGACATAATTACACATCACTTTTACTAATAAACACTTTAAATCACTACTACACTGAATAAAAGTATATTTATTTTTATCCCTGATTTATGCAATTATGATGTGTATTGAAAAAACAATCAAAAATAAGTTTGATTTTGATAATGATTTTTAGGCTTTTAATTGAATAAATCACTACTACACTGAATAAAAGTATATTTATTTTTATCCCTGATTTATGCAATTATGATGTGTATTGAAAAAACAATCAAAAATAAGTTTGATTTTGATAATGATTTTTAGGCTTTTAATTGAATTCATAGTCACAGAAACCTTGACTTAAATGAATGCTCGTTATTATTAATGGCATTTCTAACCAATTTATTTATTTTTATTTAAATTGTCGTCAAAACGAGTGGTAAGAGTGTATAAAAACAATTTATAGAGATATTGAAGATATTGGATACGGATATAGAGATCAGACTTCTTCTCCTTCGTCTTGATGTACAGTATATTTACCTTAAAATCCTATTAAACTATTTTAATACCAATATTATATGAACAGAATTTAATGTTCATTTCTAAATAATAATCAAATACTTGACGATAAAGTTATGGACCAATGATTTTAAATAAATAAGATGTAAATTATTAATGAATGACAGGTAAAGGAAAGCTAGCGATAAGTAGGAGTAAAATATAGTGAGTTTCCGTCTCTATATTGAAGCAAACAATTATGTGATTTCGTCGCTAAACGTCAGTCAATTCATTGGAAATATACAAACAAAATAATATTTAGGTTTTTATGTAATGTTTAGTTCACTTTCACTTTTGATTTGCACTAAAATTGTATTCAACAACACGTCTAATTAGTTATGCTTTTTGTTTTGTTTGTTAACAAATATAATGTTTTTTATTTTGAAAATTATCTACACTTTTGATTTTCAATTATTTGTTTTATAGTGAAAAGATTTCTAACTTTACTGTAAACATATTACTGTACAGTATTGGTGTTCAATCTTTTTTAGCATATCACAAGTACAGATTCACAGTGTGCCATAAAAAGGTGGCGCATCGGTCAGTAAAAAAGTTTATGTTTGTCAGTATTAAACGAGAAACACCACGTGAAGGT